TATATATATAAACTGATCAGATGAACGATGCATGAATGTATATATATATATATATATAAACTGATCAGATGAACGATGCATGAATGTATAATGAAAAAAAGAACAAATTATTTACTTAGAATTACAGGTATTATCTTAAATGGAATAAAATACGGTAATTGTGTGCGTGGACGCATCCGTGCATGCGTGGGCATGCAAAATATTTTTCATGTGCTTTGTTTTCATGTTCCACAAGATTGTCTTGTTGACATAGCAAAACAGCACATTTAAAGAAATATATTTTCCAAAGACAGTCTGTGATTCAGTTTGTTTCAGCATTCAATCTTATTCTGTCTTTGTGCAGGTGTAAGCGCTGCGAAGCATGTATGAGAACTGAATGTGGAGAATGTAATTTCTGTCGAGACATGAAGAAGTTTGGAGGACCTGGAAAGCTAAAGCAAACCTGTGTGCTGCGCCAGTGTCTCTCAGTAAGTTGTTTTTTTGGGGGGTGGGGGGGCGGTCATTACAAAATTAGATTTTGGATTTTATTGAAGAATTCAATAAACTAAAGCTTATCTTTTTGGAAAATTATTATTAAATAGTAATATTAAATAGTGTATTATACACTCTGCAAAATCACCAACACACCATGAAATAACCCATTTTTGTATTCCTCCTGTCATTAATTTGTGACTGGTACATGTTGAGGTTAGCATTAAATTACTTGCCATTTTTCTAACTTGTTGTCATAAGGTCAACAGAAATAACTAGACATAGAAACTACAGTAGAAGCCCTGGTTCTAACATGGTATGTTTCAGGATGTTGGGTAATCTCAATGTGTTTCTTACAAAACCGCCTTTAGGAAATAGTTTAGATGGAAACAATTCATTGCATTATCAAATGGTTTGTTGTGTGGCGAGAGTCACGTCCATTTTTTCCCCCCACATATAAAATAAAATTTAAAAAATCCCATTAGCTAAGTATATTTTAAAAACCGTTGAAACAAAAGCAAGTAGCACAGAATGGAAAACTCACACTAGGTAACATACACTATATTATAAGTATTTCACATTTCTTTAATTCTGAAAAGAAAGGAGGTTGGTGGAAGGCAGTCACGGAATCATCGGTGATGAATATCCTGAAACATGTTGCCGAGCCAGTGTACGCCTCTTGAAAATCCATTACAAAATTCACAGAAGCATTATCAAAAATTTGTCACGAAGCCTTACTGAAAGAGTAGAAGCTGTTAGAGCTTCAATGGGTGTATCAACATCATATTGAACCTTATGAACCAAGTTAAATGACATGTCATTCAAGAATGTGAGGGTAAGTGGTTGTCTGTTTTTGCTCTGGAAGTGGCTGGCAAACACCTGGGTACCCCACCTCTCGCCCACTGATGACTGGGATAGGCTCCAGTGTGCCTGCAAACCTTTTGACGATAAGTAGTTCAAAGATTTGATTAAATGAATTAAAAGTTGTATTTAAAGCGCCACTTTATTCAATGCTTTTTTTTTTGTAGTAAATAATATTGCCGTCATTTGCTTTTTCTTTTCATTGAAGGGGTAAAATTCGATTCAATGAGAAAATTTGGGGTTTGCGGTGAAGAGGGGCGGGGGGGGCATTTTTATTTCAAGTCAAGTCAGATTTTTCATATAGCCGTTAATCATAAATAGTGTCAAATGGCTTCAAATGCCTACAGTTGACAAATATTATTGACATCCCCTGAGCTCAACCCCCAGGAGGGCAAGGAAAAACTAAAAAATGAGAAACCATGAGAAGGTGTTTATATTTCAAACAAAAATAAGTCAAAGTTTTAACATCTCAGTTTTTTTAATCCGATCACCAATAAGAGATCAATTTCAAATTTGGTTAACTTCATGGAAGTATTTATTTATTTAAAATTTTCTGTAAAGTTAAAAAGCAATGCTGCTATGCATGGGAACTGTGCACTTTTTGTTTTTGTATGTACTTAAAACAAAGATAAGTGAAAGTTTCAACATCTTTGTTCGAACATTTTGGAAAACTTTATTTACTGTCGAAAACTTGAGGGAGCTATTTGTTTGTTCACGTTTTCAAATATGCTGATGAACCTGAGGGCTCCCTATACTTTTTGTTTGAATTTTAAAATAAAGATCTATTGTAAGATAAAAAGAAAAAAACCTTTAACATATTGCAAATCCTAAAAGTTGCTTTATAAATATGTACTTAAAGTGTTGGAGTATGCCTTTTTTAAAAATATGGTGATCCAATAGTTTCCCCTTTAATGCAAAAACTGGTGCCAAATAACGGATATCGGCCTCCTTTGCTACAAATCAGAAATGGTCTGTCTCTGTTCAAAGCCATAGTTTTGTAAAATATAACATGGTCGAATATGGTGGTTTCATTTAGTGATGTGGATATTTTCTTTTCCCTTTTCCAGCCAGGACTTCCACTGTCTGCTGTTTGTGAAATTTGCAAGGAGCCTAACCAAGATGAAACTGGAGATCACTTCTTCACTCTGATGGAATGTTCAAACTGTGCACAGATAGTCCACCCATCTTGCCTCACGGTACAATATATACATATTTTTTAACAATTATTTCATGGTAAATGTTATTTAAGTGTCACTGATATTTTCGTGGTTCAAATGGCTTTATTTAAACCATCCAACGTGATAAATTTCGTGTGAGAGAATTGATGTATGCGCGAAGTTTCATGAGCGTTTGTGAAAAATCACAAACTTTGTGTTTCATCATGAAGGCCTAAACACTCATTTGAGGAAATATGATGTGGATCTCGGTCAACTCCCAAGGGGGGGAAAAAAAAAGTCAAATATTCAAATGTGCATTTCTTTCAGCCAGGATGTGGCACTACCACGACCATGAACAGGGTTTTTCTTGGCTCAAATTGAGGCAGAGGGTGGTACCATCCTGACCACGCAATGACATGCATGTGTTCTGTAAATTCAATGGACTCACTTTCTTTTACAGGAAACATACTTTAAGTTAAGAATTCGAATAAGAATATGACTTTTATCACGTTTCAAGCATTCGTTCATTTCAACTTGCATTGGAGAATGATGGACTCATACAGTAGGTTGTGTAGTGAGGCCATTTTTGTTTGAGAGAGACAGATTGTTTCGAAGCAGCCTTGTCCACCTGAGCTGCAACAGCACTCTACAGTGGCTGCTGTAAAAAAAATAAACAAATAAATAAACATTTCTTCAATTATCGATCTAAACTATATTTTAGTTTTTGTAACGTTATTAATTGAGTGTTTTTAAGTACTACCGTATTTAATATACTTCTTCTCTTCTGCTGCTTTGTGAATAGCCATCATCTCATGTCTTTTTAATTTGTTCAGCCTGTAGTTGGTTGATGGCTGTCTCACAAGGGAGGTAGCGATTGCCGGCTGTGTTTGGGCGCAGTGCTTTTGGCAAAAATAACAGTCCATGCCTTCATCAGTATGCCTGAGCCAAGTAAATTCATTTAGCCACTATTTGTCGAAGCCACTGGCTCATGTGTTTTTAAGACGATATTGAAACTGCAATTAAAAAAAAAAGTTTCAATCGCGTACACGTTGACTTTGCATTGTTATGCTCCCAGTCGGAAATCGATTTATGTTGACTCGTCCTGTCCTGCATTCTGACCCTTGCTGTCAGTGTTTCAGACCAAATTTCCACATTTTGTTACCACCATGAATTATTACATTTTAACTGTCTGTTGTGTTGATTTCTTTGCTCTACTTCACCTGAATTTGGCTTTCCTCCTTGCGAGGTCGCTTTAAAAATATGGGAAAAAAAAAAGGCTGATTTTCCCTGCAATGCTAAAAATCATAAACATTACATTGGCACGAAGGAAACATTTATTTTTAAAAAAAACACAATATGCTTGAATGCAAAAAAAAAAAAAAGCAATATTTGCGTGTTTTTGTACCATTCCCAAGGGAAAATTAGGACGCCAATATCACCAACTAACGAGGGAAAAAAAACCCCACAATCTGTTTCTTCTTCGCTTGTTGCTTCAGGTCTTTTCTGTGCAGTACTGTTGATATAGCACCTAACCCAGCCGCTGGGGGGCAGTGCCCTCCCCTGGGGGTGCACTGTTCCCCAGTGCCGGTCCCAAGCCCGGAGAAATGGGGAGGGTTGCGTCAGGAATGGCATCCGGCGTAAAACTTTTGCCAAGACGACCATGCGAGTTGGTAGGACGGTTTACAGGGGCGGATGGAAATTACTGACTCGCTGTGGCGACCCCTGAATAGGGACGTGCCGAAAGGAGAAGAAGAAGAAGAAGAACTGTTGATATAGCACCTGCATCGTGGCGCAACGCTGCCACTGCAGTTAAAATACAAAGCTGTTGCAGTGGGACATCAATCCCTCAATCAGCACAGCTGGAGCTTTACACTGTGTTGAGTCATATCAATCGGTCTGGCTTGGGGGCGGCTCAAAATTAGGTGGAGGTGGCCGCCACGCAATTTTGAACACGGGAAAAACCATGCATTAAAAAGAAGTAGATGTCTTCAGGCCTTTGACTCTTACCAAAAGTGTGAAATTTTGACAAGATATGATTATCTACATCAAGTTACTCTTGAGTTTGTTGTCACGGCAATACCAACTTTTGAAAGGAAATTCTAACTGGCGGACTTCCCGGCTGCAGGAGACTTACAACAGGGGCTGCTTTGTTAAAAAACTTCTCGGAGACCCTCATGAGCCATTCCTTTTTGGTTTCACAAGAAACTAAAAAAATACTGATTTTCCTGGCCTGGGTGTGCAAAGTTTAATCAGTTTTCATGTAGTTTTAGATCCTAAATTTCAATGATTTATCGGCAAGCTGCGTGTTACCACTGCAACAGTTTCAAACTAAAAAAAAAAAACCCTCAAACTTTGTTTTTTTTTGTTGTTGTTTTGTTTTGTTTTTTTATGATTATTAACCCCAAAACACTCTCCAGATGACAATTCAGACCAAATATAGGAAGATCTGGTGAACCTGTTAGTAGAACAGCTTCAAAGGACAAAACATTCATTTCCATTAGTCATTCGGTGGTGCTACAATTACAATGTAACATCAGTTCAAATGTGTCTTTAAGCCTGGATTCATTAAATGTGTGAAATTTTGAGAAGATAGGATCATATGGATCAAGTGAGTGCAGCTTTTATTGTCACTGTGAATCATCAGATAACTTCTTTGTGGCATCGTATTGGCCACGCCCTTTTGTTGAAAAGTCGTAATATTCTGCCTAGACCATGATCAATGGTTTTTCTGTCAAATTTTCAGTGAGATTCATTCAACGGATGGTGCAATTAAAAAAAAACCCAATGTAAAACAAGACATTTCTGGTTTCCACTGGTTGGTACAATAAGGATAATAAAATATTGTACAGAAGTCTTCAGGCTGACTTATATATATATATATATATATATATATATATATATATATATATATATGTGTGTGTGTAGAGAGAGAGAGAGAGAGAGAGAATATCTCTTTCTCATAT